TTGAGAAATATTAGGATTTGTTTTATAAGATAGTAAATATATATATATATATATATATATATATATATATATATATATATATATATATATATATATATATATATATATATATATTATTAAAGTGGGCAACCTATGTAAATATTCAACCAAGGTCAAGTTTTTTAAGCTGAAATTATTCGACCAGTTTTCACGTGAAACGCACGTGCGCTGCTTCAAAAACGGTGCTGCCATTTTACAGCTTCACTCGATACCGGCGGAGCAAAAGAAAATGTCCTCGAACGTCGTGGTGGTTCTCGACAACGGCGGTGGTTTAATTAAGGCCGGTATCGGCGGCGAGCGTGATCCAACAACCGTAGTCCCAAACTGCACTGCTCGTCCGCTTTCCTCCAAGAAATTCCTGCTAGCGGACCAACTTCTGTCTCCAACGGAAGACCTAACCTCCGCCGTTCTCCGTCGTCCCTTCGACCGCGGTTACCTCATCAACCAAGACCTCCAATCGACCATCTGGTCACACATCTTCTCTTCTCTCCTCCACGTCACGCCTTCCTCCTCGTCACTCCTCCTCACCGAACCCTTATTCAACCTCCCTTCAATCCAACGCGCCACCGACGAAATCATCTTCGAGGAGTTCAATTTCCAATCACTGTTCGTCTCCGATTCACCGTCTCTAGTTCACTTATACGAGGCCAGTAGACGCCCTTACGACGTCGTGTCGAAGGCGCAATGTAGCCTTGTGGTGGACGTAGGGTTCAGTTTCACTCACGTAGCCCCGGTTTTCCAGAACTTCACTGTGAATTACGGCGTGAAGAGGATGGATTTGGGCGGGAAGGCATTGACGAATTACTTAAAAGAATTAGTGAGCTATAGGTCTATTAATGTCATGGATGAAACCTTCTTAATGGATGATGTCAAAGAGAAATTATGCTTTGTTTCAACAGATGTCGCTCGTGATTTGCAGATCGCTAGGTAAGTTCTGCAAAATTGAATTAGGGTTTATCCATCTTGATTCGATTTTGGTTGATTTGGGTTTTTTCTTTACAGGAGACGTGGAAATGACAATTACTTTAGGTGTACATATGTCCTTCCTGATGGAATCACACACATAAAGGGATTCGTAAAAGACCCTGTTGAAGCACAAAGACATCTTAAATTATCTGAAAATGGCGAACTCCCACATGAAGGAACCGAAGAAGACGATCAAACAGAAGTTAAAAGCAAACCAACAGAAAGAAACAAAGTCGATCTTACCAAAAATGTATAAAAATCTCTACATTTTGTTTAAAGATTAGTCCTTTATTCAACCAAACCACTTGATAAACCCTTTATGTAATTGAAAACACAGGAATTCAGCTTGAGCAATGAGCGATTTCTTGTCCCTGAAATGATCTTCCGTCCAGCTGATTTGGGTATGTTTTCATTTGGATACAGAAGATTAATTGGAGTTTTATTATTAATTTTTTTTTGTTTAATTGTGAATATGATACAGGAATGAATCAAGCTGGATTGGCAGAATGTATTGTAAGGGCTGTCAATTCATGTCATCCTCATCTTCATCCTGTGCTGTATGAAAGGTAGTATTACAAATTACAATGCTTTAATAAAAAAAAAAAATTGAAACTACAATTCTATAATACAAAATTACAAATAAATGAAAATAGAATGCAATAATAAACAAATAAATCTCTTTTTCATTTCATCACTCTAAGAAACCAAAAACTTGTTTTACAGTATAATTTTAACGGGTGGAAGCACGTTATTTCCAAATTTTGCCAAAAGACTGTAAGTTTCACCTCCTTTTTCCTTTTATTTATAAATCTATATCTCAAGTTTATCAAAGCCTTATTATAATTTATATATATAATATGGTTTATATTTTACAGAGAAAGTGAGCTGCGTCCTCTTGTTCCAGATGTGTACCAAGTGAAAATAACAACTCAAGAAGAGTAAAAATATCATTTTTCTTCAAGATTTTTCAGTATTTTTAATTGCAAAATATATAAAAGCCACGATATATATTTTATTTTTGTCAATGAAAGCCACCCAAGTTTGACAATTTTTTTAATGTCACTTGTCAACCAGTTTGACTCTGTATAGCAGGTTAAAGCGGTTGCACTAGAATTTTGTGAAAGTTTAGTGGTTAAACGACAAAAATTGCCAAAATATAGTGGATTTTATATACTTGGCTCGATTTTTAATGATTTTTTTTTCGTTTAATGAATTTATTTATTTGTTTTTGTAGTCCTATATTGGGGGTGTGGAGAGGGGGATCACTATTGGCTTCTAGTCCTGATTTTGATGCAATGTGTGTTACAAAGGCTGAATATGAGGAGCTTGGGTCTTCACGTTGTCGTAGGCGATTCTTTCATTAGTTTATAATTAGAAGGTAAATTGGACTTTATAATATTTATTTGATCGTTTGTTTTTAATGTTATTTAATATTTTTAGTTGGATGTTAATTTGGTATGAGAGAAAATGAAGACGTGATAGGTGATGTGATATGATGTTGGCGAATGAAAATTATATGAGCTTAAATCCTATAGGTAACTATTACTTTTGTGTTTTAATTTGACTATATACTAAAATTTAACCAAAAAAATTACTAAAAGATAATACAAGACGACATAAACCTTAATGGTTGGTTAATTGTTATAGTTTTTTAACATATATAATCTATTAAAAGTTTGTTTATCATATACGAAAAGTAAAGCGGGATTAAAATTTTGTTTATCAAAATAAAATTCCAAAACCACAATGTTATTTGGTTTTTCGATTTTTTTCCACACTGAATTGGGGGTTGTTGTGGCTCCACATTTACAAACAGCTAGCTAGCTGATTGATGTGAAAAAAGTAGGTGGGTCCCACAATGGAAAATGTTAGAAACGTTGTAAATGAATAAAAACCCAAAAAGCCTTGTGCGTGATTTTTTTGGTTGACCTTATAAGATGAAAAAAGCAATTTAAACCTTTTAAGATGATACATTTGTGAAGCCTTTTAAGATGAATCCATAAGCCCATATTCAGATTTTAAAATCGTTTCAACCTGTAAGATGAACATAATCAAACCTTTGAAGATGAATCTATTAAACCCATAATTCAGATTTTTAAATCGATTTAAACAAAACTTTTTTAGATGAACAGAACCAAAAATCGATTCAAATCTTGTAAGATGAACATACATAAACCCAGATTCAAACGATTTAAGATGAACAATTAAAAAACCTTTTAAAGTCCAAGAAATTGTTTTATGATGGACACAATCATAGAAGTTACTCTTCATGTGTGGTGGAAGATGAAATTTAGGGTTTGTTTATGATACGTGGGACTGAAGTAGTTCAAGAAACTGGGAAGCCGCATGAAGAAATTAATTGTTAAAAAATAAATGTATATTAATAATAAACAAACATTTTTTTATTTGCCATGTCATCAAAACAACGTCGTTTTGATGGCACGGGAACATGCTATTATTGAAGGTAACCATAGTTGAATATTATGTGAACAAATTTCAAGGTTTAAAACCTGATTTTTCTTATGTTTCTTATTATGCTAAACAGTGTTGTAAAACTCGTCGAGTTGGCCGATTACTCCTCCGAGTACTCACTACTCGGCCCCTTACCGAGGCGAGTTACAAAATATCGAGTACTCCCTAATCGGCCTATTTACTTAACTAAGTAGTTTTGTAAAACATGGTCAACTCGGTGATTAATATGTATAATATACTTAATAATTTATTATTTAACACATACATGTGATTATTACTACATATATATCTTAAATTTTCAGTAATTATTCACGAAGTAAGACCATTATGTGATTTTTCAGCTTTTGTGTATTCACATGTATCTAATTTTGTTATATATTTCAATCAACTTATGATTTTAACTTATGATTTTGACATATATATAATTTCTCTAAAAATATTTCTACATGAATTACCAAATCCGAGTACTCCCCGAGTACTCCCGAGTACTCCCGGGTACTCGCTACTCGGTAGTCGGCCGAACAGGTACCGAGTAACGAGTTCTGCAACCTTGATGCTAAAACAGGAAAAGATTGAAAACCCCATGGAAAATGTGGAAATGGGTCGAGGTTTGTTCAAGCAGTAACGTCATTCTCTAGACTTTCGTTCAAAAACGCATTATGTGACAGTGTTTATGGCTTAGGGAGGTGTCCTTTGTGTTCGAAGAAATTTGAATAGTTTTTAATAGGAAAATAGGCAAAAATAAATAAATAAATAAATAAATAAATAAAAATCAAGTAATTTAGGAGGATATAACTTTACTTAAATGTTATTCATGCCAGACATTTATTAAAATTGGCAAGATCAAGTGTCTTTGGTTGTAGTTGAACCAGAATTTTGTAAAAAGTAAAAGAAGTTATTAAATGTCATTCATGCTAGACATTTATTGATCGTGTGATATGTCGTTACAAATCTTTCTTTTGAGAAAAAATTTCCCAATTGAATATTACAAAAATACTATGATATTTTTAGATCACTATGTGTCCAAAATCGGTAATAAATCATACTTTCCAATTAAGAAAAATCATGTTACCCCGACAAAACACCCTCATGTCAAATCCTTAATACCACCTTCATCGGACATTGTAATCTACATATATCAATCGACAATTTGGAGGGAGACGTTCATGGATGACGTGAACCTTTATTGGGATAAACAATAAATGTATTTCCACAATTAAGATAAATAGTCAAATAGACAAGAAAATAGGCTCCTTTAATACCAAAAGTATTTTATCTAACCCCCAAAAAATCAATTTAATATAAATATTTACTAAATTCAACAAAAATTAACTTATGAATTTGAACCTTTTTTGTTTTAAAAGTCATCTCAGCGAAGATATATAATAACAAACAGATAACAAGTTGTGTTTATAATATTTTTTTCTAATTTTTTAAAAAACAAGTATCTATAATTTTTTTTTTTTTTTAATTTTATAGATAACAGATAGTAAATAAAATATATTAATATTTTATTGAAGTGGTTGTAACCTTAAAACATCTAAAAATTATTGCACAATAAAAAGGTAGGACCAATGATTGTATCATATTCAGCTGAAGAACCACTTTCATTGGTTTTACATCTTAAGATAATATTTCAAGACACATCACTATAGTGTTTGTGTTTGATTGCAACTAAAATCAAAAGAAAAAAAAAATTATTAAAAAAAATAAAGAGAGAGAGATTCCTTCTTCCATTAACATGATGAATTGACAAACCATATAAAAAAAGCTGACTTCGATCTTGCCTTCCATATGCCTGACCATTCTTCCCCACTTCATAAACCCATCATCATATACTATTGAATCTTGGTTGCTTCTGCATCAGCATTCAGCATTCATCAACCCCCACCATTTTCAAAATCTTTCTCTGGGTTTCTGAGGGTGGGGTTTTCATCACATTTCTGATGTCTTTAGTTTCTCGATTCAATTATTGACCACCCATTAATTGTCCAAAAGGGGAAGCATCTTTCACTCTCTCTTTCTTTCTCTCTCTATCTTTATCTCATAGATGGCAATTAATGGCCTTTTTGTCTTCTATATAGTTAATTCGAGGTCGTATCCAGTTTAATTTCTAACACCCATGTACAGATTTTACTCATCTTTCGCTTCAACTCCTCTATTTTCCCCCAAATTCTGTTTTATTGTTCCACCGATTGTTGAAGAAGATGCCAAGGCCTGGACCTAGACCATTTGAATGTGTGAGAAGATCTTGGCACAGTGAGCGACACCAACCCATTAGAGGCTCCATCATTCAACAGATTTTTAGGTAAACTTTTTTCGACTCACTCAATCTCTTCAAAACCTTCGATTCTTGTACATAACTGTTTATTGGGTTTTGAAATAATGCACACCATGTGTTTGATCAGAGTTGTACATGAAAACCATAGTCCTGGTACCAAAAAGAACAGAGAATGGCAAGAGAAGCTCCCTTTGGTTGTCTTGAAATCTGAAGAAATCATGTACTCCAAAGCCAATTCCGAGGTACCCTTCTTCTTTCTCTTCCTGTAAACATATATATTTTTCAATCTTAAAACTCCAATTTCGTAATTAGGCCGAATACGTAAACCCGGAAACGCTGTGGGATCGATTGAATGATGCCATTGACACGATAATCAGGAAAGACGACACCATGGAAAACGGCGACTTTTTACCCGCTTGCGTTGAAGGTACCCCCATTTCACATTCTTTGTATAAAATCTCATTTTGGAAGTCGAATTTGAGTTTATTTGATTCGAATTTTGGTATTTCTGTGTTCAGCTGCCCTTAATTTGGGTTGTGTTCAAGTAAGATCATCAAGAAGCCAAAGAAACAGCAACACCAGAAGCTATCTAAGCTCAAGAAACCAAGATTATGGTAGAAATCTTAACGTACCAAATGTTCAAAGACCAGATTCAGAAGCAAATAAGGATATAAGACCGAATTCCAATTTTACCCCTCCTGGTTCCTCCTTTTATCCTCCCTCATTTGAAAATTTTCCAAGAAACATGGTATCCATTGAGAATAAAACCTCTTCAATTTACCCTTTATACCATGGTTTTCATCTTCAACCTCGACCACCCCACATGGGATTTCACACCACCCCCCAAAACTCGGGCAGCATAATCCATGGTACACCGGTTTTCCGGGCAGCCCGGGCAGCCTGTGAGCCTTCTCATTCTGAAAGATTGTTTTCATTCGATAGAGACAATGATGATGGTAATGGGTCAGGGTCAAAAAAAGAATCTGGACCCGAATTGGTGGAATGTGACTTGTCTCTACGATTGGGTCCTGTTTCAAGTAGTGAAAAAGAAAAAGGGTTGACTTGTGTAGATGATGATGTTGACTTGGGTAGACTCAAAGGAAAGGAGTTTTCTTTCTTTCCTTTGAATTCGGAAGGTGAAGGAGTTGAGAATTTGGGGACAGATGTTAGGAAGCGGAAGATGGTAGGGGAATCGGGGAGTTTTTTGCAATTACATCCGGATTTTAATGAGCAAATGAAAAGAAGAGGTTTGTAGATATGAAATTTGTTATGTTTTCTTATGCAATTCTTTGAAATGAAAAGAGAAAGGAGTCTTGAGATTATGCGTTATTAGTTTCAAGATTCGTATTCTGCCTTCTTATGACGTTGGTTTTGCACTTATTTATACAAATCCCAGCTTGGGTTCTTGCTTTATCTTCTAAACGGAAGGGTAAAATGGTCATTTACTCACTTTAAAAGTTAAAACGTTTCATTCCTATGAAAACAGCAACAAATTCCGTCTTAATAAGTTTCAAAATCCACATTCACGTATTGTGCTTTTTTATTTATGTCGTAGACTTGCGCTTTTTTTATGCAAACCCCAGGTGGGTTTCTTGCTTTTTCTTTCGAACAGAAAGGGTAAAATGGTCATTTACTCACATTCAGACGTCAAAAACAGCATCAAATTCTGTGTATTCAAAATCCATATTCACATATTGTTCCTTTTTATATGTCATAAATTTGCACTTATGTACGCAAATCCCAGCTGGATTTTTCGCTTAATCTTCCTAACAAAAGGGTAAAATGGTCATTTTATTCATATTCAGATTTTTCCTTCGGTCCAAAAGCAAAACAGACTTTGTGAATGGATCTCTTTACAAGTTTCAATATTTATTATCTTTCCTTTTAATGTCCTAAACTAGCTCTTATTTATGCAAATTCCATTTGGTTTTTTTGCATAATCTTCTAAACAGAAGGATAAAATGGTCATTTACTCACATTCAGATGATTCAGTTAAAACAAAAAACAGACTTTGTTACACTAATCGTCTTCATAAGTTTCAATATCCCTACTCCGCCTTCTTATCTATTACATCTTAACTTTTATTTTTGCTTGATCTTCTTTAACATAAGGCTAAAATGATCATTTACTCACATTTAGACACTTCATTAAATCCAAATGAATACAATTTAAAGAAACAAACAGTTGGATTAGGTTAACAGATTCATAAGCAATTGGGTCCAAGTAGAATTGCATATGGTCAATGTCCTTTTCTTTTGGTTGGGTTGGTGGGTGGTGTCGTTGGTTTTATGGGTGGTGAGGGTTGTCATTCATTTGATGGTTGTCAATCTCATGGGGCATATCCCTTTCGGGTCCACCCGTGCATTGTCTTGTTGTACCTACCACATTAAAGTTCAAACACGTTGATATGCAGTGACATTTGCATAAGGCTCCAAAACCTTTGGCTTGTAATGATATGTCATATCGTTGATTTCACTCCCACATGTATATGAATTAACCATTCGGGACAAAATTCAACTGCATTTGTTACATGTGACATGCCCAGATGAAACCAACCAGGTAATAAGAGCATTTATGTATTTTACACAGACCGGAGATCAAGAGCGAGTAATTGTCCCATCTTTTTCTAGCTTGTTATTGTCTATTGATATCAGTCGTAGTTACAGTCAAAGTTTCAAAAAGTTTGTGACATTAAGACATTGGTTGTAATAAAAACTAAAAAGTAAATTTTGTAGGGCTAGCATTCTGTTTTAACCTATTGAACTACATCTGTCAGGGTTCGGCCATTGTTTTTTTGTGGGCCGGGTTGGTTCAGGTAGGAATTGATTGAACCGAACCGGTGTAGACATGACATTATTTTTTTTGTTCAATTTCCTATAAAAAAACTCAACTGAATCATATTAATAATTTAAGAAAAGAGAAGTTGAGTATGGATTTAAGGTATAGCTACTAATGAATAAAAAGAAAATTTGGATACACAACTTATAAAATTAAATTAAATGGAGAAGAATAATGTATATTTTTGGACCGAGTATAAAATATTTGCCGTGTCAAGAAAATTCAAAGTCTCGATTAGTTTGGCAGATTCCTTCGGCTAAAACGACGTAATGATGTGATACGACAATAGACGTTATTTTGTAATATTTTAACTAATCTATTTCATTATCATGTCACATCGTTAGTGACCAACATCAATTAGTTCTTACTTTTTATACATACATACTAATATCATAACACTTGTCAAACGTCTACAATTCCATTTAATTATATTTTATCTCCCCAAAATACCCTTAATGAACAATTAAAAAAAGAAAAAAAATCACATAAGATGATGATCAAATAGCAGACCTGCAATCCTGATTCCTTCTCAAACTCTTCTTGTCTATTCTTGCCCACGACAATTGCTACTCCAGCGCCACCAACAACAATCACAGCAACAATAATCAGGTAATTTTTGTTTTAATTATGTGAAAGCACTACCCACGTAATTGTGCTTTTTGAGATGGATCTTGTGACCTACTTCTTTAAGAAGTTAAATGATTTTCTTTGTGGGTTCTAATTATTTTTATCTTTTGTTAAAGACTTTTGTTAACTGGAACTTGGTTTACTGTTTAATGTGCTATTTTTCTTGATTTTGTCATGTATTTAGATTTTACATATAAATCAACGCTTGTTAATTCATCTTACTGTTAATGTGGTTGTAATTTTATCTAATATTATGTAAAACCTTTTGTCTAAAGTAGGTGTTAAACAAAACAGTTTTTTTTTTTTTTTTTTTTTTTTTTTTTTTTTTTTTTAATAATGAAAAGGAGGCTTTGTGTCTTTCATGAATTTGAAACATATGTTAAAATCTTGGCCAACATTATGTTTTCTATGGTAATATGGTATTCTATCTTTAAATTTCATTGATTAGTTTTATAATATGTTTAAGTTTGTGTCAAATGGCCAAGAGCATTTGTTATGTTCTATCTACTTCTACATACTAAACATAATCTTTAAGTTGTCATGTAGTGTTGATAACAAAATATCTTTCAACACTGTTTATTTCATTTTCTTCACATTTTTACTTCATATAATTGTTTTAACAGAATCAATCGTTTGATTTGACATTTCATTAATATTACAATTTATAAGTGATGGATAAAAGAGGATAATAGTGAATAGTGATTATAGAAATTGGTTAATCATATTTGCCTTTATATTATAACTGCATAGTTATATTTCTAATAATATAACTCTTATTTGTTGATTAATATTACAATTTATAATAGGTTATGTTGCTTTATTATTGATAAAATCTTTTGCTTATTGTAAATTAGATATTTTATATTTGATCAGTATGGAGGCTGCAAATTCAGTTGAGGTGACTGCAAATTCAGTAGAAAAGGATGCAATTTCAGTTGAAGAGGCTGAAAATTCAGCTGAAGGGTATAAAATTCTCAATCCTCAAGATCAAAAAATTCCTAAAGATGGAATGAAGTTTGATTCGGAAGAAGACCTTTTACAAGTACTTTAAAGCATGTACATTCCAGATTGGATTTGGTATACAAAAATCTAGTACAAGAACAAAAGATTCTTGTGCTAAAAGATACTATTCGCTTGGATGTGCTAGAGGAGAAGTATATGTGCCTAAAACAAGCAAACCATATAAAAAGTCTTCTAAAACAAACTGTAAAGCAAAAATTAGTGTAATTGCATATGGTGATGGAATATGCATTATCTCTAGTGTTTTTCTTGAACATAATCATGCTTTAAGTCCTAAAAAATCTCGTTTCCAACGATAACATAAGAAAATGGATACATATGCTAAGAGAAGACTTGAGTTGAATGATTATGCTGGAATTCCGTTAAATAAAAGTTTTCACTCGTTAGTTGTTGAAGTGAAAGGGTGTGACAATTTGCCTTTTGGCGAGACAGATTGTAGATCTTACATCGCAAAAGTAAGACTACTAAGACTTGGGCTTGGTGATGCCGAGGCACGTCGTAATTATTTTGTCCGTATGCAAAAAAGGCGTTCAAAGTTTTTCTACGTGATTGATATGGATGATGAAGGTCGTACGCGAAATGTATTTTGGGTAGATGCAAGATCAAGGGCAACATATGAGTTATTCGAGGATGTTATTTCAATTGATAGTACATATTTAACTAACAAATATAATATGTCGTTTGCGACTTTTGTTGGAGTAAATCACCATGGACAATCTATCTTATTTGGATATGGTTTGCTTTCACGAGAGGATACAGAAACATATGTATGGTTATTCAACTCATGGTTAGAATGCATGAATGGACGGGCACCAAAAGCAATAATAACAGATCAATGTCGATCAACGCAAGGAGCTGTGGCACAGGTATTCCCTGAATCTCATCATCGTCTTTATCTTTGGCATATTATGAAAAAGATTCCTGAAAATTAAGTAGGTTGCCTCAATATAAAGTAATAAAGAAAACTCTAAAAACCCTTGTATAACACTCAAGAGTTTGAAGATGGGTGGTGCAAGCTAGTTGAAAAGTACAAACTTGAAAAAAATGAGTGGTTAAGTTCTTTATTTAACGATCGAAGGCGTTGGGTGACGATATATGTAAAAGAATACTTTTGGGCAGGGATGTCTACTATGCAAAGAAGTGAAAGCATGAATTCTTTTTTTGATGCGTATGTTAATTCTAAAACCTCATTACGACAATTTGTTGAACAATATGACAACGCGTTGAAAAGCAAGATTGAGAAAGAAACTAAGGCTAATTTTGAATCGCTTAATTTTTCATATAAATTAGTAACTGGTTTTATTTTGAGAGACAGTTTCACGAGGCGTACACGAATGCCATTTTTAAGTTGTTTCAAGATGAGTTACGAGGTACGTTGTTTTGCAATTCTTCATTGGACAAAGTGGATGGTGCACGATATGTATTTCATGTCACAAATGTTGTGGAAGGGAAACATGAAGATTAAAAAAAAAGAGTTGTTTATACAGTTTGTTATGATGAGAGTGCATGTGATATACAATGTTCTTGTCGTTTGTTTGTGTTTCGTGGAATTATTTGTAGGCATATGGTGAAGATATTGATTGAGAAGGATATTAAAGAAATTCATCCACGGTATATTTTGTCTCGGTGGAGGAAAGATGTGAAGCATGGACACTACTTAGTGATAAATTGTTATGAAGATTTGATGAGTGGTGAAAACACTAAACAATTTGACCACTTGTGTTCCAATTTTTATGAGGCTGCGTATATTGCTAATTCTCGCGAAAAGTATGAATACTTGGTAAGTTGTATAAATATGGCTAAAGAAAAGTTAAATGATGATTCAATTTGGGGTTGTAGTAGTAACGTAAATTTGGTAGTTGAAGATGTTCGTGTTTCAGACTCAACTACAAAGTTGTTACCACCATTGCAAGTTCGTAGTAAAGGTCGTCCACCATCTAAGAGAAAGGAATCTAGAGTAGAAAAGGTTATGAAAAAGAAAAGAAAGAAAAATGTAATATTTTATCCATTTAGATTTATTTATTTATTTTTATTTGTTTAATATAGTTTATAATAATTGAGTTTTTTTAGGTACCTAAAAGAACAGAGAACATACAACAAGATCAAATAGATGCAAGTCATGAGCAAGGAGCAATTTCATATAATGATGAGTCGAACTACCAGTTTGATCTTAATGTACCAGTTTGAAGAGGAAAGAATGAAAGGAAGGTGGAATTAGTATAAAACAAGTTTTATGAGAAAAGAATGATTTTTAGTTTTAGTTATTTTGCGATTAACAATTTGAAAGAACCGATTGGCATTATGATAGTATTAGGAATTGGATTTTTTGGTTTCAAAATAAGGGACACGTTGTTCATTTATGGAATAGCAATACACTTTCAAAAGAAAACGAAACATAGCAATGCATTCTCAAAATAGAACCAAGAATGACAATGTACTTTGAAAATAGAACCAATAGTGACAATGCACTTTCAAAACAGAATGGAATCTATAGCCATTTTATCCAGATTTACAAAATAAAATTTGAGGGGCACTTGTGTCCAAATGAGAAATGAAACTAATGGACATTTGATTCCAGGTGCAAAAATACAATTCATGTAAAGTATTTACAAAAATAAACTACATTGCTTTATTAAATAATTTTCATATAAGTACATTGCTTTAAAAGATCAAACAATCTCAATATTGACTATTACAAGGTCTAGAAGATAAGAAGAGTACATTTTTCATATAACCAAATTGCAGTGTAAGTACTTTTTCGTATTCCAACTCACGACAAAAAGATAAAAAGCTACTTTGATATTCCAACTCACGACAAAAAGATAAAAAGCTACTTTGATCACAAATGACATTGCACTTTGAAATCAAACAAGGACAACAACACAAGATGCAATGTAGTAAATGAAAACTCTGGTTATAAATGATCCTGTGTGTTTTTGCATGATTGTAGTCTTCTGATGGGAGTTGTTCATGAAATCATGTAAGCTTTGTGAGTCTTATTTGTTGGTAGTTTCTGTTGCTTCTTTGCTTGACAACATGTTGGCTATGGCTTCATACTTTTCCTTTGAGTATTTCATGAAATCATATAACCCTCCGAGCATTTTTATCTATTCCAGCTTTGGGCTTTCCCTCCATACTTTTCCAAATCTTTTTCAATAATTGCATGGCCTTAACTTCCATTGCAAGTTATTCCATCTTCAGATGCAAGACTACATAAATGGAAACAACAATCAAATAATGTTGAAACTTGCACAAATTCATTGAAAATATGGAATTATACTTTTAGAACAAGGAAAAACAAATAAAAGTCGATGGCTTTATTAACATGTAATTTAGTCTGTCATGTTCTGGTTGATGTCAGGTTTTATAGGAATCAAACTACAAGTTTAATCAAATGCTTCTTGATGTATATAAGCTATAAAAACCTAAAACCAACAGCATCAATATATTAGCAATGACAAGTTGATAACTTCAAATATTCTAACTTACTAAAAAGATTCCAAGTCTCCAACATTTGTGATCTATGAAAGTGTAATGGCCAAATAGAAGGTGTAAGGCTGGATAAAAAAAAAAACTTAACTAAATAAATTTGCAAAAAGATCATAGATTCATATTAACATTGCATATTTATGTTTGATCCAGTAGAGTAATAGATCAGAAAACGAAACTTCTCCTAGGCATTTCATCAAACACGTTATGACCATAATCAAACTCTTCATTAGTAAGACATATTCGTCATCAGCCTAATGTATATGCATACCCCCATTGAAGAACTAATAGGTTTATCAATGAGTTACCTTTCAATGGGATGAACGGATACCTGATGTCACACCCCGCTAAAGCGGAAACGCAAGGTATGACAGCGATAACGGTTTCAATGCAAAAGATAAAGATACATCACCATAGCAGTATTTAAAAGTTTACAACCCATAGCTTCAAAAGAAACAAAATACAAGTTTTTCAAAATAACATTGTTCAAAATATAGCTTCATAATAGCTTCAACAAGATGCAGCATGCTCTATGATGATGAATCTTTACATCCACTTACTAATCACTTCCTGAAAAAGCATGTAAAACGAGCGTCAACTATGAAAATAGTTGGTGAGTATCACAAATTTATAAATCGAGGGTACAATAATGCTTTTCGTAAGTACAAGTACATTGCTTTAATGATAAAACAAAGTTGATTGCTATTAAGGTATACAAGTTTATTGCTAGAACGAGAAACGCGTTTGTATGTGTATGAGAAAACAATGAGTCTCAACCAAACCTATGACTGAAGCCCTATCGAGATCTATGCTTATCGTTCCATAGATGAATATGGTATCATGCACTCCAACGATTCGGGCGAGTGAGGAGTTGTCAATTCCTAATAGCGCTATCCATAACGACCATTGGCTCAAAGAGTTAATGGTTAGAGATAAGGGAAGGGCCTTAGTACGATAAGTTCTCATGTTCTGTGTTGCATAGACATACATAAAGAAACATAGCAATACAATAGCAATCATGTTTGATACAATTCAATTTAAATACAACATGCAAACAGTAGTTTTTCGGGACATGCTTTTCCACCCCAAAACATAAAAACCGAAAATAGGGGAGTGCGTGAATACTCACGATGTTTTGTGTAGACACAAGCGGTACTTCGGGATGCACCAACGTCTTACTACCGGGATCCTATGACATCAAACACACGCACTAGTGAGTTTCCATGTCGATATCTAATGCTAATATACTAAACTCTACATATAGGGAAATGCCAATTTATGTTTTAGTATTGGATTTTATATCAATTAGTTACACTTTTTCTGAAGTAATGAAATTCTATATATCGGGCGATTAATTACAACCTTGGAATATAAACTTTCCAAATTTTTAAGTCCTTATTACAACATAAATTCACGAAAATAGCATTCGAGGGATAAAAATTCTCAAACTTTTTATTTAACTGTTATTACACAATACTAAGCTGGGAAAATTATAAAAATGGATTTCCAAGCTGTTTAATTATATTTTATGATTTTTGAGCATTTATTTCAATAAAAATTGAAATAAATAGAAAACAGTTTCCAAAATTACCCAAACTTTTTATTTAATTGTTATTATACATAAATAGGTTGGGAAAAATATAAAAGATATTTTTCAGTGGGTATTTCTATTTTTCCTTGCTTTATTCCTTTAAATAGTCATTAATTAAAGAAATAATATTAAACAATTAAAATAAATCATCATAAATTTTTGTAACATCATTACAGTATAAATAACCTGGGAAAAATATCAAAAGTGGTTTTCATAATGTATAAATGGTTTTGGGTATTTATGTGTATTTAAGTGTATTTTAGTGCAATTAACTTTAGAAAATAAGAGAAAAATAGTTTACAGTAGAGAAAAATCCTCAAAATTTTATGTAACCTCCTACTGTATAATATGATATCCTGGTAAATTTTCATGAATTTTGGATAATCAGAACTATTTCTCCCATTTTTAGACCATTATATTACCAAAAATTGGGAAAAATAGTAAAACATGATGAAAATCTTGAAATTATTTTCTGGAGTCACCCATCACAGGTAAGGTATGTGAAAATTGTTAGATACAATTTTCACATCCTATAAAGTGGTTTTGTAATTTATCATGTCCTAAATAAAAGAAAATTAGAAATCATATGAAACAGTAACAAAAATTGCTGAAATTTGGTGAGGGGTCATTATTCTCCATAAGGATCATCTATGAATTTATTTAGGATTTATTGACCTCAGGAAGTATTTTATATGATTTATGCCCTTGGTTTTAGCAATAATTCTAATAAATCAAAGAAATAACAAAAGCTCTTGAAATTTTCCAGATTATCTCATGCATGCAAGGGCTTTCAAAAGGAAAAATGTAAAAAAATGTATTCAGAAGAGAAATGAGGGTAATGATTTCAAACAATTTAAGAAAAGTTGCATGCAATAATGCATGAAGTGTAAATGTGGCTGAAGTTCATGAATTTGTGTAGCCCATTCAGTGAGGTTTTAAGCCACGAAATTTCAACCATAATTCACTAGATATGTTAAGTTTCTAAGGTATTTTTCCTCAGATTTATGGTTGGGTTTAAGGCCATTGTTTAAGCAAGATAAAAATAGTGATCACAGAAAAAGAGCTGTATGCGCAACCTTTTTGTAAAATCTGCTAAAAATCGGATATTTAATATTTTACAGTGAGACCAGTTGGGTTTGAAATTAACTCGTGGAACTAACCAATACAAAAAGAATATCATGATTTGGTTAAGAAATGACTGAGTTATGACTGTTCAAAGTCGAACAAAGTAATCTGGCAGATTGCATGTTTGCTTGTGTGCATTATTAGGGTATTTCAACAAGAACATCATGCATGTCTTTGGTAAGGCCCGATTTCTAACACATGCATGGAATGAATGAGCATCCAAGATGTACTAGAAATGGTTTAAATGCTTTTGTTCATGCATGAACACAAAAGAAATGGAGAAGAACATGAAATATTAGGTTTTGATGTCACATGATCATATGTGCATCTTTTCCACTCCTTGCATGGGTTTGATCCCGGATTTTCACCATCTCTAACACATGCATTGTGTTATGGTGAGAATCTACAAACCACAAGGGGAGAATAAAGATTTCTAGCCATGGAAAGGCATAGAATCCGAAAAGTAGAGAAGACTAAGAAGAAAAAGAGGTTTAACCATGAAACTATGGAAGAAGATGTTGTTGTTTACCTTGGTTTTGACCTTGAGAGAAGTAAGAACACTTCAAGGGCTTCACAATCTCGAAATTTTGCAGAGAAATGAGAGGATTTTCGTGAGTTTAGAGAGAGGGAAGAAGAGAGTGAAGTGTGTGAAGAGAGTGAAGTGAGAGAGTGAAGAGGGAAGAGGTGGAGTAAGGGTTTAAGCTTAATGATTGTGTTTTGGGGAAGAGAGAGGGCATGGGGAGAGGTGATGGCCGGTTTTTGCATGCATTTTGGCCTCCTCTCTCCTAAATTTTAAACTTTATAAACTTCCCTCCTATATTTTATATAAAAACATTCATTTTTATAAAATGTTTATTAAGCAATTTGATTTATTTAAAAATCTTGTTTTCAACAAATAATTTATGATTAATACTTGTAATTTATATTTCTAGTTCATTGGTATAATCCATAATTTGATTAATAAAATTTGATATTAGGAAGTTTATAGCCAAATTTTATAAAGTTTTTAAGCTTTATAATTTATAACTTTAGATTTTTGGCTCTTTAGGGTTTTTGGAATATTGTTTGATATTCAACAACATGTTGA